GTTTGATAAAATGGAGGGTCAGCGAAGGAAAGGGATACCTCCAATGAGATGGATTGGCACAGTGGCAGCATCAATGGGCTCCAGCTTAACAATGATTGTGAGGATGACGTAGGACTGGGCAGTGTTTTGCTCTGTTGTGTATAAGGTTGCTATGTGTTGGAATCGACTCGATGATCCCTAACAACAACAACATTAAAGTGTTTATTTTACAAGATGGTGACGTAGGTAGACAGAGGTTTAAAATTCATGGGGAACAGAGCCCAAGGACGACATCTACACCCAAGACTGTGGGTTGACTCAATGGCGGCTCCAATCCTCGGGAACCTGTCCTTCTTTATTGACGTGATATTTATAGCCCCTTCTGGGTTGGACCCTAGAAGACAACCTGGGCAATATTCCTGAGAGGAAACTATTTATTCTCCAATGTTAGAAACATTTCTCTTCAATTTGTCATTCCCAGCATAGCAAACCATGTGATTGTCAGATTCAAAAGGGCCAATACCAGTCCACTTCAGCTCACTGACACCAAGGATTTCTATGTTTATACATTCCGTTTCATTTTTGACAATTTCTAACTTTCCTGGATTTATTCTTCATACATTCCACGTTCTGATTATTAATTTTGAGTTCTTTGAGGACTAAGGTGTGCCTGACACAAACCATGGTATTTTCAATAACCTCATATGCATGTGAAAGCTGGACAGTGAATAAGGAAGACTGTATAAAAATTGATGCCTTTGAGTTGTGATGTTGGAGGAGAATATTGAAAGTGCCATGGACTGCCAAAAGAACCAATAGATCTGCGTTGGAAGAAGTGCAGCCAGAGTGCTCCTTAGAGGCCAAGATGGCCAAACTTCGTCTCTCATACTTTGGACATATTGTCAGGAGGGACCAGTCACTGGAGAAGGATATCATGTTTGGTAAAGTGGAAGGTCAGAGAAAAAGAGGAAGACCCCCAGCGATATGGATTGGCTAAGTGGCAGCAGTGATGGACTCAAGCGTGGCAAAGATTGTGAAGTTGGCCCAGGATTGGACAGTGTTTCGTTCTGTTGTGCACAAGGTCACTATGAGTCAGTACTCACTCGATGGCACCTAACAACAACAACAACAACATGTTAGAAACATTCTACCTAAAATACACTTTAATTTCTTGTTCAAAAGATTGAAAGTCTGGATTTCTCAATCCATGAAAAATCCACGAATGAGTGCTTTTGACTCTGCTTATTATCCTATGACAAAATTAATTTAAAACGTTGTTGTTGTTAGGTGCCGTTAAGTCAGTACAGACTCATAGTGACCCTATACACGAAAGAACGAAACACTGTCTGGTCCTGCGCCCTCCTCATCATTCTTACGTCTGAGCCCACGGCCGCTGTCCCTCTGTTAATCCATATAGTTTGGGGCCTGCCTCTCTCTTGTTGACCCTCCACTTTACCAAGCATGGTGTCCTTCATCAGGGACTGGTCCTGTCCTGATAACGTCTGAAGTATGAAAGATGAAGTCTCACCATTCTGCCTTCTAAGGAGCATTCTGATTGTACTTTTTCCAACATAGACTTGTTTGTTCTCTGGCAGTCTATGGTACTTGCGATGTTTTTCTCCAGCACCATAATCTGAATACATCGATTATTCTATGATCTTCCTTAGTCATTGTCCAACTTTCACTTGCACATGAGGTGATTGAAAATACCATGATTTAGGTGAGGTGCACCTTAGTCCCCTGATAACTGCTCTTGAACACTTTCAAGAGGTCTTGTGCAGCAGATTTGCCTAATGCAATGTATTGCCCTCTGCTTAACTGCGTGTCAATTTGTTAACATGAAGTCATTCCTGCCTGAAGCTTGAGTTCAAGATTCAGCTTTGAACTGTGTGTTATGAACTCAGTAAGGAGACTGTTTCTTGATACTTTTGTTGAATCGACTCTATGACACTGCCTCAAAAATCAGTCTACTCAGGATGCATCAACCAATTTTGTGGTGGGGATACATTCAGAAATATTAAGACCTCTCCCATTTTTTCCACCTGCAACTTAATGAGTTGTTGTCTTTTTGGGTCAGATAGATATAGGTAGTACTTCAGGAGTTCTGGTGTGGTGTTGCAATGTAAGCACTGCACAGCTAACTGCAAGGTTGGTGGTTCAAACCCACCAGCTGTTCCTTCAGAGAAAGAGGAGACTTTCTGATCCTGTTAAGTTTTATAGCCTCAGAAACCCTATAGAGGGTCACTATGAGTCAGAATTGACTTGAAGGCAATTGGATTCGATTTGGATTTCTCTACTACTGTATAGAGAATCAGGATCCCTGGAAGTGTAAAGGGTTACATGTTGGGCTGCTAACTGCAAGGTTAGTAGTTCGAATCCAGTAGCTGATCCTCAGGAGAAAGATGAGGATTTCTGCTACCATAGGATTTACAGGGTCCCTCTGAGTCTGAACCAACTCCAAGGCACACAACAGTACCAGCCATATAGAATAGAAATGTGAGTATTATTTTACCTACAAAAGGGATGGTTTCATTATGTTTAATGTGTTAGTAGATTTTATTCTTACTAAATCGCCATTTAAAGGAGAAGGATTATAATGCAATTAGTATAAAATCAAGGTCATTGATTTTGGTTGACATCACTCAATTTTTAATTGGTTTTATACAAAAATAAAAACAAAACACCATACAGCAAGTTGACTCAGTGATTTTGGTGAACATTTTGCAGTCAGACAGTGTGTAGAATGTATGCTTTGATATTACATGGACTCCTGGTGAGGCGCCGTAGGATCAGCACTGGACGGCTAACCAAAAGGTCGGTGGTTCAAACCTACCAACAGCTCCTTGGAAACTCTATAAAGGGTCGCTATAATTGGGACCTACTTGAGGGCGCTTCACAACAACAATGAAATTATATTGCTCAAAAGTAGATGTTCTAGGAGGAATAAAGTAAATATGTTGGTGGTAAGTGTTGATGAGTTGGTTCCAATTCATAGAGACCCTGCATAGAATTTCCAAGGAGCAGCTGGTGGGTTTGAACGTTTAGGTTAGCAGCCCAGTGTGTATCCTATAAAAGCAAATACGTAAAATTATAAAATTTATCCACCCTCACCATTGAAGGAGGAAAATTTTTGTTCCGGAGCTCTCTTTGCTGTACAAAACACAGACACTGGACAAAAGTGGGGCAAAATCTCAAACCTGGAGGTGTTGGTTGGGGGAGCAGACTGCTAGAGGAAGTGGAGGAAGGAAGAATGACGTGGTAATTTGGGGAGAGAAATGAATAGTTAGAGAAGGGTCCAATATGAGGATTAAACCGTTTTGCTATTAAACCATTTGAAAATCTTAAAAACTGTTCCATTCCCTTCTCCCCAGTCCTTCAGCATTTTCTCAACAGATGGAGTACAAGTTTGAATCTTTCTCAGGTTATGTTTTTCCATTTTGTGAGCAAGATAAACCAGAGATGAGTAATGTTTAGATACAATCTGCTTTATTGTGATTTCTTAGTCTTTAAACTAAATACAATTATCACCAGTTGGCTTGATGGGGTAGGATGCTCAGATCTCCAGCTTTTATTTGTGGGTTAGAACAACAGATAATTATTTCTCTGGAGAATGTTGATTCTTTACTGCGCTCCCCTCTGACCACACAGAGCCTGACCTTTACTTAGTTAGGCTTGGTGCTGATGGCTGCCGGGTTCAGGGTTCAGTCAAACCTGATTGTCGCAGAAAGCTGTCTATTCGAGGCCCGAGCCTTGGACTGCTGGCTGGCCATTCGCCCTACTGCAAGCTTGAAGGGTAAATACGCCCAGCCCAGTGGTGACATCAGTGTCTGCGTGTGGGCCCACCTGGTTCATCGGACTGCACCCCTGTGTGAATCTCTTCCCTCCTGTGCTGGGTGGGCCAAGAGTCAGTCACGTGGGTGATCTTTGTCTCGGGTTTAAGGCTGTTTGCTCCCATGGGTCCAGTGGATTTTGTAATTTCACAGCTTTTTTTGGTCTTTTTTTTTTTTTTTCTCACTGACAGCGGGAAAGCTTAGATATAGTTGCAGATTTTAGCAGGGAACAGATTTTCCTGGAGTGAATGTTGTGCACACCCTGACTTTGTACTCTTTCCTCATTGTGATACGCCAGCCTTTTATTTTTCTCATTTATTTTAAGCTTCTGTGTGGTGGTATCGTTCCAAATTGTTTTACTTCCATGTAAGTCAAAAATTGAATCCAGAGGGAAAACCCCCTCTTTTTTCCACTACCCATAAAGAGGGTGGAGTCCTTGTGGTGTAGTGAGCTAATATGCTGGACTGCAAAGTCGGTTTGAACCACACGGTCAGCTCCTTGGAAACCCTATACAGGGTTGCTATGGGTCAGAACCAACTGGACAGCACTTAACAACAACAACAACAAAGAGGGTAGTGGATTGGCTCCCTAAGATAAGCATATGACTGAAACCCACCAGTTGGCGGGGAGCTGGAGAGAGCTGAGCATCCTGCTCCTGCAGAGATGCAATCCTCAAGAATACGTCACAGTGTGATGTCAAGTCTCCCGGATACACGTGCATATACTCACACTTACCACACACCGCATACATGCTCACCAAATCATGCACACACTCACAGGTACACACATTCACATAATGCACACATTCACACACTTGCACACACACATTCAAACTAAAATTCAGACACATATCTTCATTCACACACTCACACATCCACACGTGCACATTTGCACATACCATGCACACTCACATTCATGTATGCACACTCTCTCACACACACAAAGGTACACACACCCAGATACACTCTCATGCTCACACTCATGTACACACACAAACTCACACATGCATGCACACACACACCTACATGTGCACACTCACATGTGCACACTCATGCACACACGTGTACACTCATGCACACACTCACATACATTCACACCCACACCCACAGGTGCACACTCACATGCACTTCCACACACCCGGGCACACTCACACGCTGGCACTCGTGCCCCGGCCGTCACCACAACCGTTCTCTAACGCCCGAGCCGGGGGTTCCTGCCGAGGAGCCGGCTCAGCGCTGCCTTCATGTCCTGGTTGCGTAGACTGTAGATGAGTGGGTTCAGGAGCGGCGTCACCACGGCGTAAAAGAGCACCACCATCTTGTCCTGCTCCGCCGAGGCAGCCGAGTGGGGCTGCAGGTAGGTGAAGAGGGCCATCCCGTAGGACATAGAGACCACGGCCAGGTGGGAGGCACAGGTCCCAAAGGCCTTGCGGCGTCCCTGGCTGGAGCGGATACGCAGGATGGCGGCTGCAATGTGGGTGTAAGAGAGGGACACCAGGCAGCAGGGCACCAGCAGCACCACGATGCTGGAGACCACGATGACCAGCTGGTTGAGGGTGGTGTCCACACAGGCCAGGCGGACCAGCGCCAGCGTCTCACAGGCCACGTGATTGAGCACGTTGCGCCCGCAGGTGGGCAGGCTCATGGTGATGGCTGTCTCCACGGCCGAATTCGCCAGGCCTACCAGCCAGCACACGGCCACCAGCACCACGCAGAGCCTCAGGCTCATCACTGTAATATACCACAGAGGATCACAGATGGCCACGTAGCGGTCATAGGCCATGGCGGCCAGCAGCAGGTACTCAGTACCCCCGAGGGCCAGGGAGAAGAAGAGCTGGAGCCCACACCGTCTGAAGGAGATGGTCTTCCTTTCTTGGAGAAAGTGCACCAGCATCTGGGGGACCCCACTGGTGGTGTACCCGATGTCCACGATGGAGAGGTGGCTCAGGAAGAAGTACATGGGCAGGTGGAGACGCCTGTCCAGCCCGGTCAGGAGGACAATGAGCCCGTTGCCCAGCAGGGTCAGCAGGTAGGTGGCCCCAAAGAGGATGAAGAGTCCAGCCTGAGCCTGCTGGTCCCTGGAGAGGCCCACGAGGACAAAGTCACTCACCCAAGTCAGGTTGTCCCTCCTCATGGGACACGTAGGCCAGGCTGTGGAGAGGTGGGGAGTCAAATGAATCCACCAAAGCCCACCATGGTGGGCAGGAGGTAGAGCTGGAGTTGGGTCACTGACCCCAAGCTCCTTTGCCTAGCTGGCCTGGGGAGAGGCTGGTGAGAGACATTGGTTGGGATACTTCAGTGTTTCACACTCAACTATGAGATTTCAAAGATGAAGTCCTGTCTTGGTCATCTTTTGATACTTAGGACTGATTCCCAATAGAATGAGACATTCACGCTTTAGTGGTAGAATTTTCTCACCTTGCAGGGTTGATTTCTGGCCAGTGCACCTTCACGTATGGCCACCTGTCAGTGGAGGCTTGAATGGGTGTGAGGCAAACATCCCAACTGAGAGGTACTAGGAAGAAAAGTCTGGTGATCTAGTGCCAAAAAAAATCCGCCAGTGAAAACCATTTGGAGCACAATAGTTCACTCCGCAACCCGTCACCGGCTGGTGCAGGGCCAGGCAGGGTTTTGTTCCAATGTGTGCGTGGTCTCTGAGGGGTGGGGGCTGACACAGCTAGCGACAATTGCCCTTCTCCTCTAGGAGGTGACCTTCAAGGAGTGAGAACAACAGAGAAGGGAAGCAAGAGAAAATGATGAGAGGGAGCAAACAAAAGTGGAAGAAAAGCTAAGGGAAGGAGAGAAAGAAACAGGTCAGAGGGGACAGCGGTAGATCAAGTACTGATCAGACACTTGAGAACATGTGAGGGGCTCTGGGGTCCTGGGTCCCCTTCCTGAAAGGATGACTCAGCTGCTGCTCACACTGCAGGTGGTTTCGGGTGAGGTCCCTTTGACCTCATTTCCTCCACCAGTCAGGAGAAAGTTAAATTCGCCCATTCCATGCTGGGAATTGGGCGGGACCTGGGGAGCTGTCTGAACAAGAAAGAGTTGAATGGGTGTCCTCCTTCCTGGTTTCTTCCCATTTAACCAGGGACAGAGATTAAATTAATAATGACAGAAAATTAATTAAGTGTGATTGTGCTAAGTGCGCTGAAGGAGAGGAACAAGGTCAGTGCGTGGCTAATTAAATTTGGCACTTTGTAATTACATTACCACTGGAGTTATGCCCTCCTCCTCAATAACACGCATTTTGGAGAGTCAGCTGCAGACATTTGTTGAAACATCTAAATGAATGGTTAACAGAATGATGCCGTGAATGCCACTGGAAGCCAGCGACACCTCAGGTGACCCTGGAGTCTGAAGGGACTCAGCTCCGCCACTTCCCGGACAGAATGATCTCTTTTCTCAGCTGAAGTTGTCCTGGGTCAGCCCCCGCCCGCCCGACGTGCCATCCAGTCTTCTGTACAAAGAGAAGTACATGCAGCCCACCTGCTGCCAAGGGGTCGAGATTCAGACTCATTACAACCCTGCAGGAGAGAGAACAGCTCCACAGGGTTTCCGAGACTCCAAGTCTTTACGGGAGCAGACAGGCTCATCTCTTTTCCTGTGGAGTGGCTGGTGGGCTCAAACTACCAACCTTTTGGTTCATGGTCCTGCATTTAACCCGTGTCACCACCACGGCTCCTTTAAGATTCCGTCAGTTTTTCTTAATCAAGACATAATCTCTAAAAATACCTCCAGTTCTAAAAATACTTGGCTAGTGATTTCACTCATTCGCTTATTTACAACATCTATGTGTACATTTATACTTCAGAGGGGCCAGTCCCTGGAGAAGGACATCCTGCTTGGTAAAGTGGACGGTCAGCAACGAAGAGGAAGACCCCAGCGAGGCAGACTGGCACAGTGGCAGCAGCAACGGGCTCAAGCTTCACCGCAATCGTGAGATTGGCACAGGACAGGGCAGTGTTTCTTGACGATACCTAACAACAACAATTAGGGTTCTGTTTTTAAAAAAGATCCAGCGCTTGGTTCTAACTCATTAAAGATTCATTTCAGATTCAACATCGTGAGTGTGGGGGAGCATTTCAGCCTTTTTTTGCATGTATTTTCAAGAAAAAGGGTTGGGGGAAAACCCTACACAAAGATTAAAGAATTCATCATTCTAATATTAGAAATGAAGACTGTTGACATCTATTCAAAATGTGGATGGCAGTATCAATATATATAGAAGCCAAATGTTTCTTCATCTTTTGAAAATCTATTTTATTTTTTCCCCAAGATAGTCTGGAAAGCATTACCAATCCTTACCTTGGTAACATTGGACTTTGAAAACACAACAGCGTATATCTATGCATGTATCAGGGACCATGCTAATTATAGAAACCCTGCTGAAGTAGGGTGAAGAACTAGGGTGGGGCCCACCTGTGTCCTGGGGGCTCCCATGTTCTGCCCATGTACTGTGTGAGCTCAGTACAGCAGGGTGGTGATGTGAGGCGGAGCCAACTCTGTGGAGCTTAACAACAGTGTTAGACCACCAACTGGTGTTATTCATAGGTAGTCTGTTTCTTAGTGTTTGGGGATAATTCGAGAATTTCATTCCATTTCACTCATGAGTTCTTCCTGAGCACTGGTATCAGCTGGCCCAGGAGTGGGGTTGGGGGGATGGATGGTGAAGAGGAGCAGGAAGAGGGTGAGGATGAGTCATGGTGACCTCACAGAGGAGCTTCAGAGGAAGCTGGGGCACCCAGACCAATCACTGGACAAACCATGCCCAACTGTGTAAATAGCCAGCGAGACTTGTACCAACACAGCAGAAGCCAAGAAATCACCCACGCATTTGCTTCTTGGAAAAGGAGATGGGGTTGAAATATACTTATGTTGGTAGTGAGGAGACCAGACCTGGTTTCCATCTGCCTGTATCAACACGTCATCTAAGCATCGCTGGGTGTCTCGTTAAACTTTTGAGATGCAGTAATCTTCATCTGCAGAATGAGCAAACTAGATTAGGTAAGCACCAGGTTTCCTTCCAGCTCTAGAGAAGGAATCCTATTGCCATAATTGAATATACATAAACTTTAGTTTTAAATGACGGTGGTGATATGCCATGGGGTTGGTTCCGACTCTTAGCATCCCTGCACAGCGTTTCTGAGGCTGTAAATCTTTGCAAGAGCAGAAAGCCTCATTGTTCTCCTGTGGAGCATCTGGTAGATTTGAACTACTGACCTTGCAGTTAGCAGGCCAATGTGTAAGTAACTCAATATGCTAGCAGCACTCCTTTAAAATGACAGAAAAAAGAAAAAAAAAATTATTTGGATTTTAACCACTCTAAGCAAGCCCAGGCTGTAGGCAATAAGATAGACTATATCAGGGGGGTTCATCCTCAAAGACTTCACATCACACATTGCAACAGCTTGGGAACTGCCAAGGAGTGGGGCCATGGTGGGTTGCAAACCCCAGACTAGGGAATGAGACAAGGGGTCACATCCAAAGAAATGGGGGGACCTCGTGGGTCAAAACTGAGAGACTTGCAGCCAGCCTTCTGATTAGGGAGCCTCCTACAAAGACTGTTCCAGGGAACTCCTCAAATGGGATGAGTCACACACTTTGTACCCACCAGATTAGGAAGCAAACGTTTCTCATCTACAGGCTTTATGACTTCTTGCTAGCTGAAGACAGTCACTATCCCTTTTTTCAGGAAAAGACAGGGTCTGTATCTATCTATAAGGAACCCTGCTGGTGCAGTGGTTAAGTGGTCGGCTGCTAACCAAAAGGTGGGTGGTTTGAGCTCACCAGTTGCTTTGCAGGAGAGTGCTAAGGCAGTTTGCTTCTATGAAGAATGTTGTTGTTGCTAAGGGCCGTCAAGTTGCTTCCGACTCATAGTGACTCAGTATAGGGTTTCTGACAAGGGCTGGTGGGTTTGAACCACTAACCTTGAGCTTAGCAGCCCAGTGCTTCTCCTACAGTGCCACATCAGGGCTCCATAAAGATGTTGTTGCTATTAGTAAGTGTTGTTGAGTCAGTTCTGACCCTACATAGGGTTTCCGAGGAGTGGCTGGTGGGTTTGAACCGCTGATCTTGTGGTTATCAGTCCAGTGCTTATATGACAGCACCACACTAGGACTACAGCCCAGAAAATGCTATGAAGACAGTTTCACTCTGTTCTGTAGGGTAGCTGGAGTCCTGGTGTGGCGCTGTGGGCTAACACGCTGGACTACAAAATCAAAATGCTAGACTGCAACCTTAAATGGCAAGGTTGGCGGTTCAAGCTCACCAGCCGCTCCTCAGAAACCCTATACAGGCTCACTATGGGTCAAAACTTACTCGATGGCACTTAATAACAACACAGCAAAGCTAGGAACCAGAATAGATTTTGATGTGTAACTATGGCTCTTGTTTTAAACCCAACCCTTTTGTATTCCTTCTTCTGATCTTCAACAGAGTGCAAATTCCTTGAGGCCAAGAACTTTAGAGCCCTCTGCCTTTTACCCCCCACTCTTAGTTCCTTGCAGGAATGTCTGCATACACTGAACACTTCAGCTGGTACTGCCGTCCTGGCAACTAGTCCCACTAAAGACTCTACTGAAGGGCTCATCAGCAATGCAGCTTCTAGATCCTCAGAGGAAGCTACGTTTCCCCCAATACACTGTGCCATGGAGGATCCCAGGACAGTCCCAGCTGCTCCCTAGGATCTGGGCTCCATCAGATCAGACCTTTACTGTGGGGGCTCTTCAGGCTGAGTGCTCACCTCACACACAGGACTCACTGTGAGGAGGTGGGGCCACATCTCTCAGGAAGTCTTTGGAGACGTTGAGAAGTTGTCCATCCTCTTCCTGGTGATGGAGATTTTACTTTGTCAATCTTGGTTGATAACCTTTCAGAACAACAGGATTCCCCAGAGGGCAATTACCTGCTCTTGGTTTGTATTTTTACTTATTCTTCTCTCAGCTACTTCTCTGCAACCTCAGCTGGGCCCCCTTCTAAGTTCCCTATGGAGCAAACATTCTGAAAATATTTTTGTCTCAACTTTTAATTGTCCTTGTTCCTAGGCTAATGAGCTCTTCCCTGGTCCTTTTGTGTCTTTTCCTGCCTATAAGGGATACAGCACTGCTGTCATGGCCAAGGTGATAGCTACTA